CTTTTCCATTATCCTTATATAACTAAATAGGTTGAACCAGTAACCCAGAGCTCAAGCTGCCAGTTCTGCAAAGGTGCCATTGAGGGAACCTGAAAAGATGTGGCTCTCGCTCAACCTCTGCAATCTCTTCAACCTAAGCGGCCCATCAGGGTTTAGGGTTTAGGNNGGTTTAGGGTTTGGGGTTGGGTCAGGGGGGCTTAGTAATAGGTTAATACCGGGGGTATTTGGCGTAATGACCTCGTTTATAGGGTTATAAGCATGCCTTCCCAGTCCCCCTGACCCTCCCAGTAGGGCTTAGCTATGGAAGGTCTAAACCCTAAACCCTAGGTCTCTAGGGAAAGGTATCATTTAGCTCCCTCATTGTGGCTGGAAAGGTGCAGGCACACTGAGTCCAACGCGAGAACGCGCTTTCCGCCAGAGAACTTGGGTAGCCACTTCTTCTTGCTTTCTTGGTTGACAGCACAGAAAGGTGGCATGCTCAGCTTTGTTGCCAAGAAAGGAAAGACCTGTTGGTTCAGTCATCTGTACAAACATGCACACTGCATGCATGGTCCTATGACTGGACTAGGGTCAGGGGTACTGGATTGCTTTGTTGGCACGTAAGGAAATTATTTCGACTGCTTTGCACTGCCCATAACAATCTGCCTTCACGTAGACCACTAGAGCCATGGTTTCTGGATCCAGGTCACTATGAGCTGGATAAAGAGGCACAGCAACTGCCCACACCCCACCATTGCTAGAAAGAGTCGTACAGGGTCCTTTCAAGGGAACCCCATCTATCCTTAGGGACCCCCATATATCCTTCGATTTTGTTCAGGGGCCTCATCTCTAGACGTCCGCATACCCTCAACGCAACGCTAAGCCCTCAATGCTGTCTGCAGCAGGAGAACTCACCCAGAGGTACTTGCCAATCTCGTAGCCCTTCACGGTGGTTCCCCAGGACTTGCCCTCAAGGGGCTTGTACCTAGTCGAGATGCAGACCAAGGCCATGTCAAGGGTTTAGGGTTACATTAAGGAAGGTTGGTTCAGGCTATTTAGGGTTTAGGGCTTCGGGCTGAAAAGCTATGGAAACTACTACATTACAGAAGGTTGGTTCAGGCTATGCCTCTGCACCCATTATGACGCATGTTCCCCTACTATCTGATGGTAGTACACTGGTTATGAGGAGGTTGCGTCAGTATCAGGGGAGGGGGGTAGACCCTGAATCTTGACTTTAGACCCATAAGCCCCAAACGCCAAAGCGCTGAACTTGAAGTTCTAGATCTCCCTTATCCCGGGGAAGTTTAGGGTGTTTAGGGTCTAGGCTTTTTAGAGGATTCTAAGCCCTAAACCTTTCCCGAAGCTCACTGGGGGCCCGCACTCCTTCTTCTCCTCATCCCACTCTAGCTTCTGCCCCAGAAAGGGCAGCCGCTCGCCTGCCTGCTGCATACGCGAAAAGGCGCCCATGTTCCCCAAAGTGGTTTCTTTTCTTTTTAGGGGGGGGGAAGGAAAAGGGAATAAAACGCTAAAATATAGATACAAATGGATATAAAAGGATGTGAAATATGCGGCGTTAACAGGCCTATTGAGTTTAGGATGGTTTAGGGTTTCCGGAGATAAGGGGTAAAGGGGTACCAATGATATGTGTTATAGTCGATTGCGGTCTATACGGGGCCCTCTTTTTATGGAAGCCCCAAACTTCCGGGTTTTGTCCGATTCCTAGCCCGCTGATGTTCGAGAGCCTCGCAGTCGGCGGCATGTGACCCTTTCACACTAATGCTTGACACCTCCCTCCCACCCCCAACGCTTCACCAACAAATGGCCAGGGTCTCTCGTGGGGAATGCTGAATATCAGGGCTGGGGGCGGCATCTAATATTTAGAGGGATCAACGCAAATAGACGTTACTGGCTGAAGGGAGTCAAGGAATTATGAATTTAAGGCAGGGTACGCGCGACTCCGCCGGCATGCCCAAGCAACCCCTTTTAAGGAGTTTAGA